GAGTGGAGGGAGAGGAAGGTGCCATTGGGATGTAATACATAAGAGAGAAAAAAGAATAAGATCCTCAATACATTTATATGAATTTCCCAAAATGTTTACTGGGCAGGAATTGTTTTACCAACGGAACATAGTAATCATGCCCATGATAATTTGCCTTCAGCTGGATTTTTTTTTTCAAGAATCTGTTGTGGAATTTCTAGTATGACTAGCAAAATAAGATTCTACATAGACAGAACTTTGCCTGCTACAGCACTGGCTGCTTCTCCACCCTGGTCTTCATCAACAGTATATCTTCCATGTGGGGTCTTAGTCATGTTGACTTTCTTCTGCACCCCATTCAGTTTTACACCAGTTTCCCACATAAGCCTGTTAGTGATATAATATTAATTGCCCAGAAATGTCAGTCTGCAATTGCTCCAACATCATTCTTTTAATGAATACAGACTTCATTGCTTGTATTCCTATTACTTTAGCTACTTCTATTTCTATTTTTATAGCAAAGATCTGTGCAAATAAAAGAATATCAAAAGGTATGCCTATAAATGTACTGTGCTAAATTCCCTCTGTGTTGAAATGCCTGTGAACTGTTGTTCCCAAATGCCTGCTGCATTTTAATGCCTTTCTCCCTAGGCAACATGATATAGAAGAAAAAGCTAGAGTTTTATAGGCACACAAGTTCTGGCCCACCACTCTCCACTCATGTTTCTTTACTTCTCTGAGCCTTGGTGTACGAGTCTGGGAAATGCCAACAACAACATCATCCTCACAGATTTGACTGGAATTGCATGACATGAACACAGATACTATGTCTGGGACATCACAGATGCTCCGTAAAGCTAGTCTACTTTCTCCAGAGCACAGCAGCCAGGAGGGAAGACTGTCCCATGCTCAGACCGATACTTATTTCTAAGAAGTACTCCTATTGAAGGAATTATGAGCAAGAAAGAGTAAGTTTAGATTCCAAAAAAAAGTATATTGTGCCTTGGTATGAAGGTTTTCACATAGTGTGAATATTTATGACTACAGATAACTGCAAAGAAAATGAAACCCATTACAAAATTAAGCTCTGTCCAGCTCAGCAGTGCTATAAGAAGGGCCTGTTTAAAGTTACTGCCTGTAAAGACATAGGCTATGTAACTGACAAAAAATCCTCAATAACATAAATGTCTTGGTATATGGCTTGAGTTAACTCAACATTCTAAGACCATGCTGGTCACCTACATATAGATACAGCTATTTTTGTAAGAATGGCCAGACTCAGCTAGATAAGATCATGCACAGCTATAACCCTTGCCTTGGGTCAGAAACAAACAGACAGAGGATCCAAACTCTACTTTGCCCAGTAAACAACAAATACAGAAAGCCTAACCTTCCAAGTACCAATGTAGATGTAAAGTGTTTAATCCTCTAAGAAGTCTCAGTTACATCAGAACTTGATGTGGCTTCTGAATATGTCAGGTAGAAGATTTCCCAGAATTCCTGCTATTACATTCCATAAAAGCAAGAAGATAGACCAGATGGTACCTAAGGACCTTCAAGAGTCAAGTCCTGTGTGCTAGCCTTAAGTCTATGATGGTTTGGTGTTTGCTAGAGACTCAAGTCTCTACAATATAAACAAGATAGAAGAATTCAATCATAAGTAGCTCCAGTCAACAGGAATGTTTGGAGTCAGCCCGACTTTCTTAGCCATGTATTAGCTGATAGCCTCATCTTCTTCATTTTGATGAGCAGAATAATAAGCCTTATCTTTTAATATTCTTTTCAGATTTTGAGGTATTTTCCAAAGCTATTACGTTAGAATTATACATAAAATCTATTCAAGTGTCCATCCCTATAGCTTGGTAGTGGTTTTCTGAAGTTCTGGCTTGAAAAGGATTCTGAGACTATCTAGGGTCTTTCAAAAAGAGAGTAATTGATTATTGATGTGCACTCTAGGCAGGTGGTAGAAATAAAAGTTTGAATTAGTATATTTATGATACATTATTATTATAATGGTTGATACCATCACTACAAAATGTATAAATATAGCATCAAATTATTAAATTTGAACAACTTCAACACAAAATAGAATCAACTGATTGCTATACTTACATGATAATATGTAACATTTTATTAGTTTAGTGATAAACATATGTGTTATCTACTGAGAAATGCTAAAAACTGAAATCAGAATATGTGATTCCTGACTTTAACATATGAAACACTTGGAAAATGACACTGTTGTTACTAAGGGCAGAAAGAGGTTTAGGAATGGGAAAAATAAGACCAAGATTGAAAGATAGTTCCAGCGTGTGATAAAAGACTTTCATTCTATTCCAAATACTGTCTTAGAATATTCACACTTGGGAGAAGACACAGCACGTTTTGCATGGAGATACTCCATGACTTTCTCCTGTTTTTCACTGGGGCCAGATTTCTTTTCCAGGTAAATAGTCATGCTCCTGTCGCCATCAGGGACTCTTTTGAATCCTGAACAGCTGCTTTTATATTCTTGCCCTACTGTCTTATTTGAGAATGGCAAGCTGATCAAACCCATATTTTTAAATTTATGTATTTATAGGCATATGGAAGAACAGTTTATAGTCTGAATATGATTTTTTCCCACCACAAATGGAAGAATATTGTGATGTTTGGTCCTTTTATATAAACAGTACCTTTCTTTCCTTTTTCTGTTTTCCTTTATTACTGATGACTTCATTCTACATGAATTCAATGCTTCAGTTTCTTTGGGGTAAACTAATAGATTATGTATGCAATGTTTGCACCACGGTGATTGAACTCATCTGGTGAGTTTGAATGCTGCTCTCGCATCTCTGTAACCAGCAGAAGCCTGTGCATGGGATCCAGCCTCTGCAGTCTTGTGTTCCTAAGCAGCCCAGGCAGCTTTCAGAGTACAGCATGCTGCTATCATCACATGGGCTCCAGGAAAGCTTAGCAGTCCCTTATTGTCTTTGGGGGTTATCTTTTTAATTAAAAAAAAAAGGAAGGAGAATTAGGACTATTTTCAGAATTTTTAAATACATCCTGAAGGAAAATAAAGGTCTGTGCCCTGCTCCCTGAGTGCTTAACTTATTCTTGTTTTTAAGATTTATTCTTATTATTTTCAATTACATGTGTGCATGTGTGTCTGTATGGGGAGTGTTTACTGTGAGTACAGGTACCCACAGAGGAACAAGGTAGCAGACTCCCTGGAGTTAGAGTTATAGGCGGCTGTGAACTTCCTGACATGGGTGCTGGGAATGAAATTCCTCACAACTACTCAGCCATCTCTCCAACCTCAAGGTTTGCCTTTTCTTTACCAAAAGCATCAGTTGTTTATCAATTGCCATCGCTGATGTTCCAGTTAAGCCCAGTGGCCAGTGTATACTCACTGGTGAGAAGCCACAAAGCCAGCATGTGGCCACACACTATCCACTACCTTGCCATCAAGTAGAAGACCTTGTCTTGCAAACATGTTTACTTATTGCTTTCTGTTTTATAACTTCCTAGCTTAATTTTCAAATACTTTAATTTGCTTTGAGATAACTCTTTTTTTATCAAATATCTTATTTAAATGTAAAACTCAACAGTAATACCTGAGGACCTTTATGACATGCAAGGTTCTTCACATCGGGCCCCTCCATACCTGTCCAACAGCCACTTGTTCCCCTTTCCACAGTCCCTCCCACATGACTCATAAACTACAGCCTGATTTTTCTCCAAGGCTCAGGTCATCAGCACTTACCCCTTCTGACCTGACACATAGGCCATCTGCTATGTGGAGGAGGCAGAAGAAAGGCAGTTGGGGCCTCTACTTGTCCAAATGGACTGACTGGGAAATAAATCCCCAAAGCAAGATTTTCTTGCTGTGTTCTCTCTCTCTACCTGGAATTGGCTCCTCTCACCTGCCCGGTTCCTGAGTGTCTATGTAGCCTGTAAGTTTCAGCTGGAGTGTTGCCTCCTCTATGGCGCCTTCCACTCTCACCTCCCATGGCCTGCTCTCACCCTGTCAACATTTAAGCACTCATAACCCCTGTGCAGATCCCTCCAGTGACAGTCATCTTCGTTCCTCCAAGAATGTGATTCGTCCAGGAAAAGAATATGAAATGATCACTTTTACATCTCCAGATCGTAATGTGAGGTCTGACACAGTGGGACACTTAATTGTTAAGTGAACCAGTGAGGTTCAGTGACAGACCTGTGTATCTGTTTTGTCTTGCCTCCTGGGCTGGATTATAAAGCATAAGCATAATCCTGGTTCTGTTAAAATAATCATAACAAATCAACCCAAACTAGAAAGGGGCCACTGGCTGCCCAAGGTGGCACTGGGCAAGCTGTAAGTCTTAGGCAGAATCAGTGGCTAACACAGAAACATGACCCTTGGACAAGGAGCACAACTGGAACATTGAACAGCTGTCCACCTTCCCCTACCCACATCTTTCCCTTATTGCCGTATCTTTCACCTTCTTTCTTTACCTATAGTCCATCTTTACTCATGCATTGGCCTACACTCTGCTGTCACACCACACACACACACACACACACACACACACACACACACTCCAAAAGTTCTTCAGTTTCACTAAAAGGAATGCTGGTGCATGCCAGTCAATCATTTGTCACATCCAACCTTCAGGTCAAGCAACTGGGATTTGATCTCAAATAAGTAATGGCATTTGAAAGAATGAGATACTCACATTAAAATTTAACCAAACACTGTATATATGATTGTAAGAAGAAAGTAGTGCATTTTTTAATTGCTCTAGAAGGTCAGGACATTACCTTACCTTCTCATTCCCAAAGCATTTATTAATCCCAAATCAGATCTCTTGACCCATGGAGTTAAATGTGTGTGTTTGTGTGATGTCTTTCCTTTGCTCATTTTTATTACTGATTTCGACACTTTCCTAGTTTAAATTACTTTGTCAAATCTTACAAATTTGGATGTCAGGCCCTTTTACAGGGAGAGGAAAAGGGGATCTCTGAGGCTTTGTGTGACCATGTCTATTCATGTGCTACAGTGGCCGTCCCATGGCTGGAAACAATGACCGCATCCAGAAGCTTCGGAAGGAGTACTATCAGGCTCGAAGAGAAGGGTTCCCTTTGTATGAAGAGGAAGAGGGACGAACCCGGCCATCTGACCATGACCTTCGCTGGGTAAGCCCATGCCTGATTCCAATCGTAAATTCCTCTCCACCAAAATAATTCAGAGCAGAAGTCCACAGTCAGGTCAAGAAAGTTCTGTGCATATCAGATTACACTCAGGTTTCTGGAGTTTTATGGATATGAACATTACCCAGACCACAGTCGTCTTCTCCCACAGAAGTTGTTTATATAAATCAAACCATGGAACTGTACTTGTTCATTCTATCTGCTCTCACGCTTAGTTCCTGTTGGGTACCTCACTGGTCTGGGGCAAGCAGGTCAGCTACTCTAAAGGGGACAAGGAATGTTTGCATACCTTACTCCTTCCTCTCCTTCTCTTAGACCTTAAATAGGAGTTATTAGAAGTCAATTTCAGAGTATTATTGTCAAAGATATCAACTGTTTGTGTATGAGATCTGAGCAATTCATGTTCCCCAAATCTTACCAGTATAATAGGATGGTGTGTCTTGAGATAAGGGAAGTTTTGTAGGAGTATCACTGTGCTAATTCACTCATCATTCAAGGAACAGAAGTAAATGTTGTCAGCACTGAAGGGAGACTCTGGTTTCTCTGTGTAGCACTTTCTCTGTCTTGTAAGTACCTCTAAAATTCACTCAACTCGTGAGCAACCACAGAAATGCCCAGGGGCAGCGCTTAGAGCTGGATGATAAGAACTTGTCAGTGACAGTGCCTAACTTGCAGCGGGTACTCAATACATATCACATTAGCTCTCGGTACTGTTGCTGGAGCAGAGCTGAGTGTGGGCATTGTAACATCCTGGCTGTAATCCATCCTATGTGTCCTCTTGGATGATTGGGGCCTTCTAGTCTCCCATCTCCTTGGAAAAACAAGCTTATTAAAGGGCGTTTCCTGCTCTAGGTTTTACACATATTTCTTCTCACAAGATCAAGGTGTGGAGAATGTAGCTAATTCCCTTCAGTTTTCATACCTGCATCATAGGAGGTCATGACTGGCATGTGGGCCAAACATTAGCCTCAGTACCTCCCATAGTTGTGCAAAACAATGGCAACTCCTCAGGACAGGAGATTCCTTTTCTTAGAATGGAGTTTAAAAACACTAATGGAGCCAGGGGAGGTGGCACACACCTGTCATCCTAGCACTGAGGAGTCTAAAGTAGAAGGATCAGGAGTTCAAGGCTAGCCTCATTTATATGGTAAGATGGAGGTGCATGAGATCCAGTCTAAAAAACAAAAAAAAACAAAAAACAAAAAAAAACAAAGAAATGTATAAATACATATTAACAGAAGTATGTTGTGTACATTGTTGATCCAAACCCAGAGATGTCAGCCTCTTTGGAGAAAGGCATGTCGGGCTATGTATCCGAATCAGTAACTATTTATGTTTTCTACAGATGTTAGAATTAAACAGCATGACATGTACGGTGATGGGACAATGCATCTCTTAGATTCTCCATAGTAGAAAAGAAAGATTTCTATGGAATAACAGATACAATAATAATTCACCCTGTCTCGAACTTGATCCCAGTTGATTCACTGCCTTCGACAAGAGATGAGAGGCACTTGTTAGGCAAAGCTCAGACTCCCCAAACAAACACACACCAGGGATAAAGTGATTGCCACCCTCCCAGGAACAGAACACCATGTCCAACCCATTGAACAGGTTTTATGAATTCCTATGAGCAGCAGAAGAAAGTGATCTTAGAATGACGAGTCCTTGTTATTTTGGCTTTATGTAAGATTTCTTTACTTTGAGCGAAGAGGATAAAGATGCTAAGCCTCGAAGAGACCTAACATGCCTGTGCAGCTCACCGAACCTGAGCTGGAGGCTGGTCCCTTGGGAGCTCTGTTTTCTAATGCTTCTCTTTATACCAAGCAAACTTGTAACCAAACAGTTTAGTGACTGAAGAAGAAGTGTCTGTTTTAATTTGTGTTTCCCATGCTCTGGTGCATTGAGCTTTGCCAAATGTGACCGATTTTATGTTTCCCAGACCATTTGAATCTAAGGCATCCCAGAGGGATGCTGGGCACCACACTGTCATAGAAGACAAGTGTTCTCTGTGATCGCCTGAGATACTCCAAACTGAGGATTAGGATCTCAGCACCTTTGCACTCCTTTCCCTATGCCAAAGAAAAACACTGGTACCTTTTGTCTAGAGGAGGCCTGAGAAATTACACCTCTGTCTTGCTACATTTGGAAAGATCTAGGAGAGCAAGTTTAGAATGTTAACATTTCATTTCTGTCTCTCAGCCAGACCCAACAAAGCATCTTTCATGAGACTGTAGTGTCTAGAGTAGGCTGGTCCTCAACACCAGAGAAGTTCTTGTTAAAGTCAAATCAAGGGACAGGGAAGGAGAGCTACCCCTAGCAACTTATAATTCTCCAGGTAGTCAATGAGGAATCTGAGATTCAGGCTCAATAATAGAAACTGAGAATTGGTTCCTTCCACTTCCATGAATCTCTAAGCAGTCCACATTTGCTTACAAAATCATCATCATCATCATCATCATCATCAAAACTATTTCACAGACTTCGAGATGCCCCAGTATATAATACTCAGGTCAAGAGACCTAAAGAATGTTCCCCACAACCATCCTATTTCAGAAAACTTCTGTGCTATCAAGAAAGAAAGTAGGAAAACAAATTATCCTGTAACTGTTATCCTCCCTTCCTATCCTCAGGACCACTCTGGAGATAACAAACCTGCAGATGCTCAAGTCCCTTATTTAAAATGCTGAGGATTTGTGTAGAACCTGTAGGCTTTCTCCTATATACTTTGAAGCCTCTACAGACTATTGATAATATCTGATGCAATGTCAATGTTATGTAGATGGTTTTTAATCTCTATAATTTAGAGAATAATGATGATAGGAAATTATATAAACGTGTTCAGTAATATGCATTGTGTGTACACACATATCTGTGTGCTCATGTTTGTGGATGAACAAGTGTACAAGTATATATACATATGTGCCTAGTCAGACTTCCTTTGGACCACCAGCTCCCAAATAATGACATGGAGACTTCTTACTAATTATGAAAGCTTAGCCTTAGCTTAGGCTTGTTCCCAACAAGCTCTTAAAACTTAAATTAACCCATTTATATTAATCTACATTCTGCCATGTGGTTCATTACCTCTCCTCCATACTATATATTTGACTTTCTTTGTGTCTCACTGATGAAATCTAAGCCTCTCAGATTCTTCCCAGAGTTCCTATCTCTGTGCAGAAATCCCATCTATCCTTTCCTGCCTAGCTATTGGCCATTTAGGTCTTTATTAAACCAATCATAAGGTACCTTTCACACAGTGAAATACCCTGCAACATTTCCCCCTTTTTGTCTAAATAAAAAGGAAAGGGTTTAACTCTAACACAATAAAACTATATACAATAAGAACAATTATCAGGTAAGAATTACATTCACAATGTCCACTCCATCTGTATTTGACAACTTTGGAGAAAGTATTCTATTATCTATCCTGTCCTGGGTGAGTTCAAAGTTCAGCAGTCAACTTCCTTTTTGTATTGCTTGTCCAGTTTGGACAGCATACAGTCAGCAGTCAAGGTAAGGGCAGTTTCTTGTGCAAATTCTATATGGAGGTTCTTCAATGTCCATTATCTTCTCTGAAGTAAATTGGTGCTGCCAAGAGCAGACATATCTCACTGTTATGAAAAGCCTTGTTATTAAAAAGCTTAAATGCCATATTCCATAGAACTCTGAAGTGTTTGAAGACCACCTGTCTAAAATATATGTCTGAAGCCGGGCAGTGGTGGCACATACCTTTAATCCCAGATCTGGAGGCAGAGCCAGGCAGATCTCTGTGAGTTCAAGCCAGCCTGGTCTACAGAGTGAGATCCAGGACAGGCACCAAAACTACACAGAGAACCTCTGTCTCGAAAAACATGTGTGTGTGTGTGTGTGTGTGTGTGTGTGTGTGTGTGTGTATGTGTGTACATATATACATTATCTGTTTGACCTTGAAAACATCCTAACATGACTACAAGTCTGATTGTTATAGATGACTACTAACCTGCATTTCTTAATTATCCTAAATAGTTTATAATAATAGCTTTCAAGGACTACCATTTTTAAATGAGTTTTATAGGTACAATACCTTAAACAAGAGTAGAAACATATATACAGTATAACAAAATTAACCTTAAATTTGTATCAATATACAAAAATCCATACCAATATAAATAGTTGAGACTAGTAGTTGCTTTTCGGTAGATTCAGTGATGTACCATTTTGTCCTATCATCCCTGTATCCCCCCTTTTTTCTTTTCAGAAAGAGATCCTTGACTCTAACCTCCTTTATTTAGTCTCCTACGTCACCATGACCAATAACACCCTGGAACTAATCCCCTTAAACAATGACAAACACCCATAACCCACCAAATGACCAAAAACCACCCACCCCGCCTCTTAGGAATGTGGGCATCGTGTTCTTAAAATTACTCCTTGTTATGTGGGTCAATGGCATCTTTGGGGGATCTTGAGAAAATTGGGATAACTGTCAAATCCGAGGAAAGCTCACTATATCATTTATCCATTCTCTGTGTGATGGGAAAGTGCAGAGCTTATCTGAAGACCTGGCTGGAGTAGTCTGTGAGGTTGGACCCTCTCAGCTAGTACCTTTGTAGTTGTTCTGGATGCAGACTTTGGGGGACACTGCAACAGGCCTTCTAAGAGGCTATATCACCTGGGCTACTTGTCTTTGTTGGTGTCTGGTCCTTTTTTTCTCTGAAACATACAAATGTTTAAAGGTAACATAGATACCTGCATTAACACAAGTATGGAATGTGTGATGTGCACAAGTCAGCTAAAGATGATCTTCTGTTGTATGTCTGAGCAGGTAAAAGGCACCTGTCAACTTTATAAGTTCATTTGGACTGCATAACCAAGCTGTAATATAAATCTCCATCCATGCGATATGAAATGATGACATGTAATAATAAGTCATGAGGACTCTGTAGCCAACAAGATTTATCATGTCTCATCCAGTCTCAGAGCTGTTCCCATGTCAAGGGATC